TGAGGGTGCTGGGTCTGCTCGTGTGGCCTCTCGCGGTGCTTCGTCGAGGCGGGAGCCACTCTCTCCGCAGGAGTTGCGCGAGTGGTTTGCCCGTCGCTGGAGCCGTGCCGCTGGAGTTGGAGGAAATACTGTTGCTGCTGGTCCCGGAGGTGCTCGTACTGGCGGTACTAGAGCTGCTGGGGCTGGGGGTGCTGCTGGGGCTACTGGAGTTATTCCTGCCGGAGGTACTGCTAGAGCTGCTTGCGGTACTGGAGATGCCGGTCCTACTGGAGTTGGTACTGCTGGAGCTACTGGAGCTACTGGAGCTGCAGTTGCTGGGGGTGTTGGCGCTGGTGGTTCTGCTGGCGCTGGTGCGTCTGAGGGTGCTGGAGTTGGCGCTGTTGGAGCTGGAGGTGCTGCTGGCACTAGTGGTGCCGCTAAGGGTACTGGTGCTGTCCCTGCTGGTTCTAGAGGCGCTGCGCGGCCGCGGCCGTACTTCGTTCCGCTCCTTGAGCAGGTTCTTGGTCTCCCGCCCTCTACTGGTCCTACTCCTCCCTTAGAGTGTCCACAGCCTGTCTAGTCGCAGTCACAGTTACAGCCCGCCTCCCCCCTGCCCGCTCCTTCTCCTTACACTGGTCTTATTAGAGGTCTTGCTGAGCGTCGTGAGCCTGCGTCTCGTCCTGCGTCGCCTGTTCGTACCGCTCGCACTAGTCCTCGTGCTCCGCGTCCGCGTCCTCCTACGGTCCCAGGCACACACCAGATGGCACTGCGTCCTTCCACTGCTCCTCTGCGTGTCCCGTTGCCGTCTCCTTTAGAGTCCTCTCTTCCTGTTCTTGCTGACGCGGAGTCTGACTCTCTTTGTGCTGCCAGTCCTACTGTCATGCGTCTCCTGGCCACTGTTGTAGCTGACCCTTCCTTTGAGTCCACTGCTGCGTCGGCCCTAGTTGCTGAGCTTGTCGACTTTGCTGCTAGCTGACGTCTAGACTACGCTGCTAGTCTTGTTGCTGAGTCTGAGTCTATCTGTCCTCCGTCCGTCGGGGGTGAGTGTGCTCTTAGCACGGACTTCCTTGAGGACAGGCAAGAGGAGTTCCAGTGTTTTGTTGCTGCTTTGCCTCATCTCGTGTCCACGCTGATTGCCCCTGAGGGAGACCCGGATGCACTAGACATCCCGACTCCTCGATCATACGCTAAGGCGATCGAGGGTCCCTACTCCTCTTAGTGGCAGTCAGCCATGCACGCAGAGATGGCTTCCTGGAAGTCCACAGGCACCTACGTCGACGAGGTTCCCCCACCTGGGGCTAACATCGACAGTGGCATGTGGATTTTCAGGGTGAAGCGGCCGCCGCGTTCTCCGCCTGTCTTCAAGGCGCGTTACGTGGCTCGAGGCTTCAGTCAGAGGCAGGGAGTTGACTACTTTCAGACCTTCTTTCCCACCCCGAAGATGACCACTCTTCGGGTGCTGCTGCACATAGCCGCTCAGCGCGACTACCAGCTTCACTTTCTTGTTTTCAGCACAGCTTTCCTACAAGGCAGCCTGCACGAGGAGATCTGGCTGCGCCGTTCACCTGGCTTCTCTTGGTCGTTTCCTCCTGGTACCCAGTGGAGCCTCCGGCGGCCAGTCTACGGTCTCCACCAGGCGACCCGTGAGTGGCACGACACACTGAGGACTACATTTGCGGCTCTTGGGTTTGCTCCTTCTACAGCCGACCCGTCGCTGTTTCTACGCACCGATACCTCCTTGCCGCCGTTCTACATCCTCGTGTACGTCGACGACTTGGTCGTTGCCACTGCTGACACTGCTGGACTCGCCCACGTGAAGTCCGAGCTGCAGAAGAGACACACGTGCACAGACCTGGGTGAACTGCGCAGCTACCTTGGCTTGCAGATCACCCGGGACAGAGCACGCCGCACCATTACCCTGACTCAGTCACACATGGTGCAGCAGGTCCTTCAGCGCTTCGGCTTCACGTACTCCTCGCCTCAGGCCACTCCTCTGCCTACTCGCCACTCGCTCTCAGCTCTGCCTTCGGATGAGTCCGTAGAGCCGAGTGGCCCGTACCCAGAGCTTGTTGGCTGCCTCATGTACCTGATGACCTGCACACGACCTGACCTTGCATACCCTCTTAGCATCTTGGCACGCTATGTTGCTCCTGGGAGACACCGACCAGAGCACATGGCTGCAGCGAAGAGGGTGTTGCGCTACTTGTGCAGTACGTCGAGCATGGGGCTAGTGCTTGGAGGGCGACGTCGAGTGGTCCTCACAGGTCACGCAGACGCTTCTTGGGCTTACGACCAGGCTATGCAGCGGTCGTCACAGGGTTACACCTTCAGCCTTGGCTCCGGCTCTGTTTCGTGGCGGTCTACTCGCTCGTCTTCTGTTCTCGGCTCCAGCTGTGAGGCTGAGATCTACGCGGGGGCCATGGCTGCACAGGAGCTACGCTGGCTCACCTACCTGCTGAATGATCTAGGAGAGGCGCCTCGTTCTCCTCCAGTTATGTACGTAGACAACAAGGCCATGCTGGCCTTGTGTCGGGAGCACAGACTGGAGCACAAAACGAAGCAGATTGCTCTCCGCTACTTCCTTGCTCGTGAGCTGCAGCAGCGTGGTCAGCTGCGCCTTGCTTACGTGGCCTCTGAGGCCAAGACTGCTGATATCTTTACCAAGGCACTTCCGCCTTGTGATCATCAGCGCTTCTGTACTATGCTAGGTCTTGTGCCTACTTGGCCTCACTTGCTCACTTCTTGACCTTGCTTGTACTGTGATCTTTCTATACGTGCACTTGCTTGTTTACCTTTATATATGATCTTGCATGTGAACTGGCCTTGTGGCCTTGCTCTTGTGCTCGGATTGTGTGGTGACGTTGTGATCCACCCTGAGCTTGCTTTGCTTTGCTTGACTGGTCTTGTGACCTCTTGTTCTCCCCCACTTTGCCTATAGGGGTGTGTCAAACTTATATCATATAGCTTGTCTAGGCTATAGTGGGGTAGACACTATGGGGTACAGTGTTTCCTAGGGTTTCCTACTTGTACCCAACCCTGTGCTAGTTCATTCATTCCTCATTCTGCACACGCGGATCCGCCCCTGGCGCCCGCGACGGCGCCTCTACCTCACCCCGCGCCTGCACTCGCTGCAACCGCCCCTGCCCTACAGCGCACCGACCCTCTGTAGCCGCTCTGCGGCTTTATCCCCCCCCCCCCCCTCCTTCGTCTCCCTGCAGCCGTGGGGGGGAGGGTTTGGGGTTCGCGGGTGTGGAGGTGATGAGTGGTGTGTTTCCCTTCCCCTCCTCCTCCTTTCGTTCCCACTGTTGCAGTTGCCGCTGGGGTGGAGGGTGTGAGGGTGTGGGGGAGCCAGGAGAGTGGCACTGAGGTGGCGGGTGTGAGACCAACCAGCCGCCCCTCCTGAAGTGGGGGGGGGGGGGGAGGGAGGGGAGGAGAGTAAAGGGGTGGCAGGAGTGCCTGCCCCTTTGCTGCTGTACCTGCTCTGTTGCCTTACCTGCTGTTGCTGTTTTATATTTCTGTGGTGTACCTCTGCAGGTTGTGATATGCACCGAGTTATTCCTGCATGCAGTTACGAGGGGATGTCAGAATTATATTCTTATACCCGCATGTAGTTCTAGCTGTGGTTTAGATATTTACTTTACATGTGGTGCACCTCTTTGTTTGCTATATGTGCCCTAGTGCTATAGTGAACATCGTTCCCATTCCTCTCTCCTTGGCACAAACTACCTCGACTCCTTTGGCCTAGGTTACCAAGCCTAGGCCCTCTCTTAAACCTAGGCTTTACTTAGCCTTCTATTATCAACACCTCTGGGGCTCCAGTCGTTGCGCACTCCTCCACGGTGCTGCCGTGTCCGGCGGTCCCGTCTGGCTCCCTGTCAGGTCTTCACCTCCCCTCGTTCTCTACGAACATCTAAAAATATTTATTGTGAAAGCGAAGCTGTTGTATGCAGCACATGAAAGCATCATCGAAGCGCTACTCGCCCTTCTCCAACTACAAAAGAAGGGGTTTCGACCATTTGGCCTCACCCACGTTTTCATTTCAAACTTTCAAGTTCAGTTTCTCACCCATCCCCCCTTGTCTAGATTACCATACATAATGTAATAATAAATGACGGGCAATGCTGCCCACACATGCTTGACTTGAACCACAAGCAATGAAGACGATGCTTATTGCTAGTCAAGAAGCAATCTTTCTCAATATCACATTTTATATATGTCATAATAATAGAAAATGAGCCTTTTTTAATTGATTAAAAGTGCACCTCTTATAAATACGTGATTTTTTAATGCATTTCTATTATTATATAAATTGTATCTGCATGCTTGTTAAGTTTTAATGGGTGCATCCCGGGCCCTACCTAGACATTTTACGCAATGATGCGTGTTTGTTTATTAATAGGAAAAAAGATTAAGAGTGTAAATGCTATCATAGGATTGGGTAGAACAAGAATAAAATGAATGCTGTTCTTGGAGTTTATAGGGGGAATGTGAGTTGAAGCAGAAAGGTTGGGTTAGATTTTCGCAGCAGGCGTCAGAAGTGACACCTTTGTAGTATCTGATTGGCTGCTCTCCATTTAGGCGCCAAAATTTGAGCCCCGATTCGAGAGTTCATTACTGTCTATTGCAAGTGCTGCCTGCTCACTGGAGTTTGAGTCACTGCGAGTGCGATTCGCGCCAACAGCAGGCGAGTGAGTTTGTTGATGGCGGCGTGGTGTTGTGCCCTTTGCTTAGCTTCTCTCTTGTCTCTTCGACTTCCTCTTCACTCAACTCACCAGTCGGACTCCCAGACCACGGAATCAAGTCTTCACTTCTCCTCATTTCATCCGCTGTTGCTCCTCTTCTCCTCTCATCATAGCTTGACGCTTTTGAATAGTAAGATGCCTGAACTAGAGCGAGATTACCTCGCTGCGTTACCTCATGAATCGCAATAGATCGTTTGTGACGCATGAACGGTCATTTTTTCCTAAACACTCTAGATTGACATCATCTCACCGTTTGATATTATAGTTTCAAACACAGTCATGGTTCGCTTTCGATTTCGGTTCCATCGGTTGCGGAAATGTTTCCTCCGCACCAACAGCCTTTCTCCTGCTGGCAAGAAGGTGCGCTCTATGGCTTGATCTCGCTCCCTCATTTTTTATAGTAAATGCATAGGTATGCGCAACGGGGCTTAGAGGATACGCGGAGCCAAGGAGATAAGCGGCAATACCTCGATGCGTAGATGTCGGAGGCTGTAGCGAACAGGCGTTGTATGTCAGGCAAGCAGTACGCAGCGACAACTGAACCACCAGTTGACACGGCGAAGGTCATCGCAGCACTGCCGCGCTCGGCTTATATTTGCATGACACCCTCCCGAACATCAAACGCACATGTCAAAGCACTAATCACGCATTAGCTAACCGCTTGTCATCGTCCGGGCCCAATTCGCTTAAGTGCCATGCCGTGATGCGCCCATGTGTCCCGCGTGCGTGCGTGCAGAACAAGGAGCTAGCGCGGCTGATAAAGCACCAGCAGGCGCAGTTCCACTCCGCGCTGCTCATGCGCGGCATGGTGGACGAGGGGCTGCTGCCGCGCCACCAGTACGCCGCCTTCACGCGCGACCTGCTGGGAGACGTGATCGCCAGCACCGCGCACGACCAATGGCCGCAGCTCACGCGCAGCAACCTCGTCTTCATTCAGGTGCCCGGCATCGCCTCTCTCTCCCCCCCTTCCCCCCTTCCCCCTCCACCCTCTCTCCATCCCTCTCTCCCCCCCCCCCCCCCCCCCTCTCTCTCCCTCTCTCTCTCTCTCTCTCTCTCTCTCTCTCTCTCTCTCTCTCTCTCTCTCTCTCTCTCTCTCTCTCTCTCTCTCTCTCTCTCTCTCTCTCTCTCTCTCTCTCTCTCTCTCTCTCTCTCTCTCTCTCTCTCTCTCTCTCTCTCTCGCCCTAAACCCTCTCGCGCCTCGTCTCTCCCACCGATCCCCACCAGTAAATGCCCTTCCGCTTTTCCGCCTTTCCGCGCCGCACCTCCGCAGGACCTGTTCGAGTCGCACTGCATATCGCCATCGGACTACCACGAGGCCAAGCTCGCGCTCATCCACCGCCTCGCAGCGCAGGGGGCGGACATAGACGACACGGATTTCTACCTCGGATCGGCCGGCCCCAACGCGCCATCCGTCCTCCGCAACAGCCGGCCGTCCCTTCACAGCCCTCCGCCCTCCGGTCCTCCTCCTTTCTCTCTTGGCAATTCTCTGCGCCGCAGCGCCGGTTCTAAGGGCGCGCTCTTGCGAGCAAGCCGCAGCAAGGGTCAGTTCCGCAAGCCTCGAAAGCAGCGCAGCGGGTCGGTGGCTGGCAGCGGGAGCGGCAACGGCAGTTGGGAGGGTGCAGGCAGCAGCCAGGGGTCAGGGGGCCGTGGGACGCGCGAGAACCCCAAACCCACTCTGCAGCGGCAGTTCGACGAGGCGGCGCTGGAGGGGTTGGGGGCGGAGGAAGGGCATGAGTGGCCGGGAGCACAAGGTGAGGGGGACAGGCAGCAGGACGGCGCAGGAGACGCGCGGCATGGAGGCAACGGCCCGGCAGTAGGCGCTGAGCGTGGCAGTGACACGGATCCTGCTGCGCATGCGCCCCATCTCTCGGAACCTCCAAGGCGGCCGCCGCCACAGCAGCAGCAGCAGCAGCAGCAGCAGCGGCAACACCCGGAGCAGTACCATGAGACGCAACGAGAGCAGCAGGGGGCAGGGCGGGGGGAGCGGGAATGGGAGGCGGAAGCGGAGCAGGAGTACGTGGCGGTAGCGACGGAAGCGGACCTCACACCAGGCGCCACTCATTTCGCCCGACCGCACGCCGATCCTCCCCGCACCCCTGCTCCCACCTTTCCGCCTCCTCCGCCCCCACCCAGCGTCCCCGCTGCTGCAGCGGAGGAAGCGGCCGTTGCCAAACAGAGGGAGCCGTTGTGCGGCGCTGGGGAGAAAGTGAATGGGGGGGGGGCGCGCAAAGTGTATGGTGCGCCCCAGGGTTTGGCGGACGACACGTGGGGGCTTGGCTCTAGCGGCTTTGGCGACTCGTGGGGAGGCGCGCGCAACCGAGAGAGTGGACGAGAGGCGCAGGGTGGCGAAGCGGGTGTGACGATGTACGCTGTAGGGAGAGAAAAGCGGGAGAATAAGGCGGCTTCAAGAGCCGCGCCTGCGCCTGCGCCTGCGGACCCGCGTGTCCACCTGCAGGCGGAAGCAGGGAAGAAGCGCGCAACAGGGGCCGCCGTGCACAAGTTCCGCCGACCCATGGCGGCTGCCGCAGGCCCTCCTCCCGCTGCGGAGCAGACGCCGCTGCAGGCCATGCTGGCGGCGGGGTGGCGCCGTATGTGGTCTGGTCGCGCGGAGAAAGGCGCGGTGCAAGGGGGGAAAGGGGCGGAGGCGGGGGAAGAGACGTGGGTAGAGGAGGTGGTGGTGGTGGAGGAGGTGGAGGCGGAGGAGGAGGTCAGGCGGCCAGCGAGAGGCGCGATGGCGAGTGGCGCAAGGCAACAGGAGAGCTCAGGGGAGACTCTGCGGGGCGACGACGGGGGCGGAGGGGGAGCGGGAGGGGCAGGGATGAGGACTGCGGGAGCGGCGAGGGAACGCAGTAGGCAGGAGTGTGGAACGAGCGGTCAAACCGCGCGAGATGCGGAGGGGATGCAGTGGGTTCACCACGCAGTTCCAGCTGGACGTGCGCATGTGGACGCGCGCGTGGGGGAGGGGGACGAGATCCGCGCGGAAGTTCGCGGGGAGACGCGGGAGCACGCAGCGCAATGGGAGAGGGGGGAGAGGAGAGAGGAGAGCGGGGAACAGGAAGAGAGGAGTGTTGAAGGGGCTTTCTCAGACGATGGGGAGGGATGGGCGCGGAGGGAGCCGGCGAAGGCGCACCATGGAGGAGACGACGGCGGAGGGAGCAAGAGACGCAGCGACAGCAGGAACAGCAGCAGCAGCAGCAGCAGCGGAATCGGGGGCGGGAGCAGCAGCGCTCGGCGGGAGTCGTCCATCGCTGATGACGATGGTGACGATGATGGTGATGAGGAGAGCAGTCTCCGCAACGACGCACGGCCCGCGCACGAAACACCCACGCCCGACGCGCCCAACACAGTCAATACAGTCAAAACAGTTAACACGGTTAACACGGTTTACACGGTCAACACGGTCAACACGGTCAACACGGTCAACACGGTGAAGACAGCCAACACGCCCGCCACGTGGATGGCGAGCGCGCTGTCCGAGGGCGAGAACCCCGTGTCGGAAGGCGGTTCCGCACGAGTCGACCTCTTCGCCGCCGGCAGATTTCAACGCCAGGCGGCGCGCGGAGTGGTGCAGGCTCTCAGGCTTGGGGATGCGGAGCCGAAGGGGGGCAGGTGGAAAGCGGAGACAGTAGGGGAGATTGCGGAGGAAAGCGCAACGGAGGAAGACGCGGACCCCGGACCGAGGGACGATGGCGGGAACGCGGCGGCGGGGGGGAGCGCGCCTGCGCCCACCCCCATGACAGCGCCGCGAGCCTTCAGCTTCAGGCGGCCAGGCGGCGTCACCCGGCCCGCCGACCTCGAAACGCCCCCGGGAAAACGCCCCCCGCCCCAGCCCTACCCGTGGGCGGGGAAGCACGTGGAGGAGGCGGGCTTGGCGGGTGGGCCGAGCGGACGGCTGTCCCGCGTGGAGGAGCGGAGGTCGTGCGGGGAGGGCAGCGACTGGTGCGCGGAGGAAGGCGAACGAGCGCGCGTACCTCAACCTCCCGCGGAGAGGATGGCGCAGGAGCCTGAGCTGGTGACGCCCGGGGCGGAGGATGAGCGGACGGGCTTGGGCAAGGGAAGCCGTCGTCGCCTGGGCGAGCCCCGCACTGGCGGAACCATTTTCCGCGGAATCATGCGGAAGATCTCCGCGCGTGACCTGGGCGCAGCGGCCGCCGCCGCCGTGGCGAAGGTGGACTTCACTCCGCTCGCCACCGCCGCACGCCTGCCCAGGTTTGCGCGCACTGTGAGTCGCGGAAAGGGTGGAAGCAGCCGCGCAGCGGCGGCGGGGGGGTTGCTGATGCCGCCGCGCAAGCTGCAGATCGAGGGGCTAAAAAAATCCCGCGAAGGCGGGGGAAGGCGGTCGCGTGACCCCAGCCGGCGCAGTCGCGCGGCGATGCGACGGTCGGCGCGGTCGAGCAGCAGCATGGCGATGGCGATAGGCGACGACTACGACGACGATGACGTGTCGTTCTGGGCCGGCGGGGAGCGACGATCGCGCGTGCTGCGAGTGCCGGACGATGAGGATTTTGTGCACGCGGAAGACGAGGAGGAGGAGGCGGAGGAAGAAGAGTACGAGGAAGAAGAGGAAGACGGGGATGAGGGGGAGGCGGAGCAGCGCGAGGCGACGCCAGGAGTGGCGTGGTCGGTGAACGTGCCCGCAGCCAAGGCGCGCGGCAGGACGAACGCGCGGAAGCCGCGCGAGGAGGCCACTCCGCCGGGGCTGCGCGGACGCGGGGAGCAGGACTATGAGACGTTGCCTGCGGCGTCAGGGGCAATGGCGGCGGCGAGTGCGGCAGGGGGAGAGGACGAGGAGGATGGGAACGAAGAATCAGCAATGGCAGCAGCAGCAGCAGCGATTGGCTTATCGCCTGCGCTGTCCGGTGTGGTGGGGATGGCTGGCAGGGCAGACGCGGGGGTGGCGAGAGGAGGTGGCGGGGGGAGAGGTGTGCGAGGCATGGGCGGAAGGGGAAGGGAACGCGGAAGTGGCAGTGCAGGAGGCACGAGGCGAGGAGTGCAGAGGAGCAGCAGCAAAACGAACGAGAGCAGCAGTAGCAGTGAGAGCGAGGGCATGGGACAGGCATGGCGGAGGAGGAGCACGAGAGGGGCCAGGAGCAGCAGCAGCAGCAGGGGTGGCAGCGGCAGCGGCAGCAGGGGCAGGGGCAGCAGTGGTGGCAGTGGTGGGAGTGGGAGGAGCAGCGGAAGCAGTGGGGAAGTGGTGGTGGTGGAGGGGGAGAACCGGCGCAGTGTGGATGCGTTGGAGCTCAAGAAGAAGCTCAGTGGCTGGGTCGCCTCCTCTGGTGTTGCTGCCATCGACAAGGTGCGCTGCTGCTGCCACTCGCACACACGCCTGTACCATGCGCAAGTCCTTGCATCCCCCTGCGTTCTCCTCGCACCACCCCTGCTCCGCCCGTCCCTTTCCCCACCTCGTCATACCATGACCTCTCCCTTCCCACCCCTTTCCCCCAACAGGTGCTGGTGACGAACATCCGAGCATCGCTGGCGGCCATGCGTGCGCAGCTGTGCACAGCACACCCCAAGCTGCACCCCTCGCAGATCCTCTCGTATGTCCTTGCATGCTGCCATGCCGCAGCACCTTCCTTCTGGACCCCTCCATCCTGCCATGTTGCCATCATGCTTTCATGCCATCATGCCATCATGCTTTCATGCCATCATGCTTTCATGCCATCATGCCATCATGCTTTCATGCCATCATGCTTTCTCGCCATCATCCTTTCATGCCATCATGCTTTCATGCCATCATGCTTTCATGCCATCATGCTTTCATGCCATCATGCTTTCATGCCATCATGCTTTCATGCCATCATGCTTTCATGCCATCATGCTTTCATGCCATCATGCTTTCATGCGATCATGCTTTCTCGCCATCATGCTTTCATGCCATCATGCTTTCATGCCATCATCCTTTCATGCCATCATGCTTTCATGCCATCATGCTTTCATGCCATCATGCTTTCATGCCATCATGCCTTCATGCCATCATGCTTTCATGCCATCATCCTTTCATGCCATCATCCTTTCATGCCATCATGCTTTCATGCCATCATCCTTTCATGCCATCATGCCATCATGCTTTCATGCCATCATGCTTTCATGCCATCATGCTTTCATGCCATCATCCTTTCATGCCATCATGCCATCATGCTTTCATGCCATCATGCTTTCTTGCCATCATCCTTTCATGCCATCATGCCATCATGCTTTCATGCCATCATCCTTTCATGCCATCATGCCATCATGCTTTCATGCCATCATGTTTTCATGCCATCATCCTTTCATGCCATCATGCTTTCATGCCATCATGCTTTCATGCCATCGTGCTTTTATGTCATCATGCCATCGTTTTGTCATCACATGTGCGTTCAGCACAGACCAGTTGCACATCAGTAGGCCCATTAGAGGCAAGCATTTCTTGGTGTGTACCACCTTTGTGCGCTGTGCAGTGATGATGAGATGACAGCAGTGGCCATGCGCATGCCTGCTGACAGAGCAGAGCTCCTCAAGTTCTTCCCACAGTGAGTCACACACACTATGCACCGTGTAATGTACGCCATGCACCGTGCACCATGCACCATGCACCATGCACCGTGCACCATGCACCGTGCACCGTGCACCGTGCACCATGCACCGTGCACCGTGCACCATGCACCGTGCACCATGCCACACCTCGTCTCGGCCCTTGTCGAAGCCAATCACACGGGCGTAGCATGTACTAGGAAGCACTCTCACCCCCCCCACTTAACCATGCATACTCGCAGCCCCTCAAAACCAAAACTAAAAGCTGCACCATCTGACGGACATCCGTTTGGGCGTGTATGGTGTGGTGGGTGGGTTGTGCAGGCGGTGGGTGGAGCTGTTCGGAGTGGTGGTGCTGGACGTGGTGCAGAAGGAGGTCAGCCGTCACGTCGCCCCGCTCAAAGACCCGCCACCACCACCCCCCGCTGCCGCCAGTGCCCACCCTAATCCCCTAGCGCGTGCACACCCACATGCCCAGGCGCCAGTGCAAGCCCACGTGCACTTGCACATGCATGGTGATGCAACCACATGCGCCCCCAGGCATGGGAGCGGGGCGACGGCAGCAGCAGGGGATGCAGTGCAGGGTGCGGGGGTTTTCAGTAGGGGTGATGGAGCGGATGTGGTTGATGCGCGCCCTCACACGCAGGGCGCTGCTGCTGTGCGCCACAAGCCAGCAGTGGCAGTGGGAGGAGAGGCAAGAGCGGCAGGCAGTGGTGGTGGTGGTGCTGGTGGTGGTTCAGGTGGAGTGCAGTTTCATGGTCATGCAGGCCCGTCCAGACACTACCGCCTGCCATCCCCCGACCATGCTGCTGCTGCCGCTGCGAACATTGCAAGTGGTGGCAGCAGGACTGAGTGTGCTTCCCCGGAGCTTGCACTGTACAAGCAGCCCTGTGCGCCACCAGTACCAGCAGCAGCAGCAACACCAGCTCTGGCAGCAGCAGCAGCAGCAGCAAGAGCAGCTCCAATAGCAGCACCAGCAGCAGCACGGCCAGGGTCGGGCAGCACAAAGACGGCTCAGCGCCCCCAGCACTACCGGCGGCCGTCCCTTGCGCCCCCTGACCGCTTCTCCCCAATCGTGGCCCCCCCTGTTGCCGCACTGCCAGTGGGGGCGCGGGAGGAGCAGGGGGGTGCACGTGGTGGCGGTGCAGCAGAGGCAGGGGCGGCAGGCAGCGTGGCTGGGAGCAGGGCGAGCGGCAGCAGCGGAGCGGGATATGGGGGGCCGGCACAACCCCTGGGGGAACGGTGTGTTAACGTAGGCCAAGGAGTGGGGAGAGGGAGCTATGGCAGCCTGGATGGGAGCATGAGGGAGGGGTGCGAGGGCAGCAGGGACGGCGGTAAGTGGAAGGTGTGGGGCCAAGGGGGCACAGAGCGAGAGGGCGCGGGGGGATTTCAGGAGAGAGAAAGTGTGATGGCGCCTGTGCTGGACAGTCTAGACAACCCGCTGCTCAACTCCATCGCCCCCGCTTTTGCTGCTGCCGCAGGCAAGGAGAACGTGGGTGTGTTTGCAGCGGGGAAGGCAGGTGGTGCGGGTGGGGCAGCAGGTGCAGGGGTGGCAGGTGCGGGCGTGGCAGCAGCAAGGGTGGGAGGAGCAGGAAGAGGGCCAATGATGGGTGACAGGCCCCCGCCCACCTTCACAGGCAGAAAGCCCCGCGCCCCTGCACCTGCTTCTGCTGCTGTTGCTGCTGCTGCCGCTGCTGCTGCACCCTCCGCTGCACTGCCCAGCCCACCGGTCGGCACTGCCAGAAAGCCTGGCACACCTGCAGTGCGTGCCACTCCGAGTGCTGCTCTCACTGCTGCCGTGGGCAGGCCAGCAGGCAGCGGTGCCAAGGAGAGTGCAGCAGGCGAGGAGGGTGGGGAGGCGCGTGACATTGGGAGGGGCAGGGAGCACGTGGTGTCACAGCGACAAGTGGAGACAGCAGCTGCAACAAGAGGGCCAAGAGAAGCAGCAGCAAGAGGAGGAGGAGGAGCAGCAGCAGCAGCAGAGACAGGGTTGGCAGGGGACTGTGGTGGTGCAGGTGTGCAGATGTCAGGGCATGCAGGCAGTGCAGGGCACAGGAGGAGTGACGAGAGGAGTGGGCAGGGGCACAGCCATGGTGAGGCAGCAGGCACGGGCGGCAGGGTACAGGAGCAGGAGAGGGTGGGGAACGTGAGGTCATTGAGTGGCAGCGGTGGCAGCTTCAGGCAGCGTGCTGCAGCAGCTGCTGTGGCCGCCATTGCTGCTGCCAGCCCCCCTGGGCATGCAAGCGTGCGTGGCAGCAGGGGAGGAGCGCAGGCAGTGGGGCAGGCTGGCACCAAAGAGGCACCGCGAGAGGAGAAGGGCAGCAGCACGGCTGATCGTGGTGGTGGTGCGATGGTTGGTGACAGTCACGCGAGGATGGCAGAGGGCTCGGTTGTGGAAAGAGGGGCAGGAGGAGGGGGGGAACAGGGCGGGGCAGCAGCAGGAGGAACAGAGGGAGGAGGCGCAGTGGATGGGGCAGCAGGCGTGGCTGCGAGGGCAGCAGTGCAGCGCAAGCCACGGCCAGCCACGTGGAGCAAGGGCACGGTGGCGGCAGGTGCTGGGCCACGGCGCACCCCGCGGCCATTCAACATGGGCAGTGCGGGGCGTGCGGGCACCATGGCACAGGCACATGCTCAGATGCTGCTGGCACACGGCAGTGGCTCGCACGGCAGTGGTGCCAGGCCAGGGGGCAAGGGCGCTCCAGGCAGTGGGGGGGCAGGCGGGAGCAAGGGAGGCGAGCCGCAGCAGGGAGGGCAGCAGGAGGCAGGGCAGAGAGGGGCAGCGGCGCAGGGAGGGGGGGAGGTGGGGAAGGTCGAGGGGGTGGTGGGGGGGGGATCAGGACCCATGGCAACGCCAGCATCGGTGCTGCGGCCCAAGGCTCTGGCGTTTGGCACAGGGGGCCCAGCCGGGGGCCAGTTTGGGGGCTCGATGGGGCGGCGTGCAGGGCTCAAGGCCATGAGCGGGTTCAGAGCACCGCTGCGCACGCCCGCTGCTGCTCCCGGCAGCCATGGCAGTGGCGGTGGCACCGCGGGGAGAGAGATGTGAGGGCACCATGAGGTTGAGTGCCTTGCACATGGTGCATCACGTAAGGTAGTAGGAGAGATTGGATAAAGATCACTTCCATTTTAGTGTGAAAGTGACTAGCACTGCACACTAAAGTAGAGTCAGGTCAGGATGAATGTAGTGCTCAGTCCAAGATACTTTGGGCTTTAGGAATCAATAGCTCTTGAATTTCTCTTACGTGGTGCAATTAGTTAAGCTGCTGACACACTGATGTCATTGGTAAAAAGCTGCGTTTTACTTTATGTACACTGTCTTTACTAGTAGGGACGTTGATGCGATGAAGGCAGGGCGGGTGCAGTGAGAGTGAGCATGCATCAGGTGGGGGAGGCGTGCACGATGCGCACAGCGTAGGCGTCTCGGATCTTCTGCACCACGATGACACGGTCACGGCCCCGCACCACCCCCATGGTGCCCGCCCGCTCCAGCGCTGCCTGCAGCACCCACTCCTCTGGCGTCCATGCACTGATGCTCGCCTGCCATGCTCCACCCCACGTGCCAACGCACAAGGGCACACGGGTGACAACAGAATGGTGGCGGATGGAGGCTATATTGGTACGACTTTTGAGAAATGGAGGCATGGACACACACATGCCACTTACCCATGCACTTGCAATGTTTCCCCACAACTGATTGAATTGACCTGTCTCACATAGATGGCCCCACCCATTTGCATCCCTCCCATGCACTGCAGCACCCCACAGTACATGTGCCAACCCTCCCTCCTATGATAGGGCCGATACCCCCCTCCAACCCCATCCCTGCTGGACTCACGTGGGTCATGACGTCAGCAAGGATGGGGAAGAGGCCGCGCACTGCCAGGCACTGGTGCGCCTGCTCCCATGGCCAAGGCAGCAGCGGCAGGGGGGAAGGGGGAACGGGGTTGGGAGGTGGGGCGAGAAGCATGTTAGGAGAGGTGTGCGGAGTCACAAATATGGGGACATGTGAGTGAGAGCTTGTGGGAGGGAGTGGTTATTGTAAGAATGGTAAACGTACGACCCGCCGTGATGCAGGAGGTTGGCTGGAGATGCTTTATCGAAATCACTTTTGCGAATTCTCAAAAGTGATTTCGATATAGCAGGCTGGAGGTGCTTCTGAGCAATCTCGAGAGCAGCTCCTGCAGCCCGTTGCTGATCCACCTCCACCCACGCACCATGCACCCGTACCACATGTGCCACGATCATGCTCGTACCGTGCTCGTGCTCTTGTGCCAAGGAGTGTGTGCACTGGGTGTGGGCGCGTGTGGGGGGAAGCAGACCTGGAAGGGTCCCATGAGGTGCCAGGACAGCTGGTCTGTGGACACATGCGGTACCATGAGCGCCAGCACTGGCATGGAGGGCTTGTACTTGCACACTAGCCTGAGGGAGGGCGTGGGGTTGGGAAGAGAGAGAGAGAGGGATGTGTGCATGTTAGTGGCAGCGTGGCATGGGTGCAGAGAGGTGTCGCACATGGCACATGGCACAGGTTGCGTTGAAATGCAATCGATGCTGCTGTCACTCATTTGCTCCCACCCCCTCCCTTCACTCATCCATGCGAAAGGCATGGCAGCACAGAGGACAGCATGGCAGGGCAGGGCAGTAATTTTGAGGCATCTAAAAAATAGGCAGCTGGCAGCACCTGGCAGTGTGGCCGGAGGAGGTGAAGGCAATGATGGCAGCAGCACGCACCTTCTCCGCCGTGCGCACCTGAGGGGCGCGCATGGGGGACACGCACGGAAGGCGCACAGGGATGGGGCCGTGGCTTGTGCAGAGGAGGGGTGGGTGCAGGTGGGGTGAAAGGGGCAGCGAGAGGGAACAACAGGTGCGAATAAGTGCATAAGTGGTGGGGCTTGCATGGATGGATGAATGTGTTGCTGTGGCAGTGGGTGCAGGCGGGAAGAGGGATGACAGTAGAGGTGGGTGAGAAGAGGAGCGAGGGGTGGCGTACAGCGGAGGAGCAGATGGTCTCGAGGTGTGAGACGGGGTCGGGCAGCGCGTTGGCGGTCCTGTTGAAGTGCCCCGCGTGGTTGAACACCCGCTCCGCCTGCCATGCCATGCCATGCCATGCCGTGCCGTGCCGCACGGTGGGGCGGGGGCGGGGCAGCTGTGAGGATGCTACAAAGTGTGAGGGTGCTGGTAGGTGTGAACATGTTGTGCTGCTGCTGATATCACTGCTGCTGGCGGATGTGGTGTGGCAGCAGAAGGAGCACCAAGTCCCCACCTGCACGCAGATGTGCCCCACAGTGGCCACGGTGTCAGCAGGGAACAGCCCCCTCAGTGTCTCTGCGCCCAGCAGCACTGCATCCGCTCCTGGCGCCGTGGCCGCCCATCGGGGAGAGGGAAGAGGGGGGGAAAGGGAGGAGAGAGTAGGAGATAAGAGCGAGCAGGATTGAGAGGGTGAGAGGGGTGAGCAGGGTTCAAAAGGTCCAAGTATGCGGCAGTGCGGTGTCGGGCAAGCAGTGAGGCTGACCATCACATACACTCACACGCCCTTGCCCATTCCTCACCGCTCTCGCCCACCCAGTCACCAAGAGGACTTGTGAATCAAAGTTGCCTCATCCCGCCTCTCCCCCCTACCCCACTTACCAACCCCTGCGGACCTCCGAATACACCCCCTCCCTCTTCCCCGCACCCACCATCGAGCACGGCGTTGGCGACATCAGTGGCTTCAGCGCGCGTGGGGCGGGGGGAGAGCACCATGGAGTCCATCACACGCGTGATCACAGCGGGCTTGCCGCGCACGTTGCACTGCGCCACCGCCCACTTCTGCACGCCAAACACCTTCTCCGGCGGCACGTCAATGCCCAGGTTGCCGCGCGACAGGATGATGCCATCCGCTGCCTCCGCTATGCCCTCGAAATTCTTCAGACCCTGCTCCCGTGGGTTGCCACAGGCCAAGTGTGGGGGTGGGGAGGGCAGGAGGGAGTGTGCAGGGTGGGGAAGACAGATGTATCAGTGCAGGCGTTACTGCTGGTAGTGTGCTAAACGGGTGAGTTGGTTCGTAGGGCCAACCCACCCACAAACAGCTCCCCAGCCGTTTTGCCTGTGCCCAGTCCCCAGAAATCACACCCGCAATGCAACCCCCTTGCTCCTCTTGCAAGAATCGGAAATGCGGGTGCGAGGAGGCAAGAGGGTAGGCGCACTGAAGAGGAGTGTGAGCCACCAGAAATACTGCCTACCTACACGTTATCGCCTGCTTGTTGTTTTAGCGCCTAGTTGACCATTTAGACTAGCCGGGCAAGCGCGGTTGCTGCTATGGGAGTTGACTTTTGAGTCGACTCAAAAGTCAACTCGCGGTTGCTGCTATGGACCCGTTTTCCCACGTGAGAGCGCGGCACCTGCATGGTCTCGACCTTGGCGTAGATCTGCGCCTGACTCAGGTCACCCAACGAATCCAGCAGCTCCCTCGTCTGCACTCCATGCCACGGCCATGGGGCATGGATATGGCCATGGCCATGGTATGGGCATGGACATGGTATGGGCATGGACATGGTATGGGCACGGACACGGGCATGGGCATGGGCACGGGCATGGGCATGGGCATGGGCATGGGCATAGACATGTGCATGGGCATGGACATGTTGTTTCCACTTGCTGGTTTTCACAGATTCAAGCTCCTGCAGTCATGAAGCAATGGGGCATTGACATGGGGCACGGGGCCACGGAGGCACGAAACACGGGGCCACAGGCGTATGCCAATGTGAACAACACACGAGTGCACTCGGCCTTGCCCCACTTGCAAGACGGCACTCTCCAACATGCGAGCGCGGCTCTGATACCATTGGTGCCACCAGCACTATCTCACTATCAGCCATGCTCTGTGACGATGCACCCACTCACCTAGCACCCCACCCAAAAACAGCGTGTGCTGACCTGTGCAACATCGTCGGGGTGGCGAGTGAAGGAGAGTGAGATGATGTCCACGTTGTTGCGCCGTCCCCACGTCGCTATGTGCTGCCTATCCGTTGCTGTGAGCGTGGGGATGTCCATGCGCACCTGGTGCCGTGCCATGGGGGATGATGGGGGGGAGTGAGGCAGGGAATGAGGAGGTTTGAAGGAGATAGGCCATTGGCAGGGAGGTGTAAGTTGTGTGATGGGGACCCACGAGATGCGGGAATGCCATGCCATGCCATGCCATGCCATGCCATGCCATGCCCCATGCCCCCATGCCCCCATGCCCTCATGCCAGCATGCAGAGCAGCACGTCTCACCCGGGCAGCGTGAGCGGTGAAGAAGTGGCCAGCGAGGGTGGTGCTGTTGCGGATGCAGCACACCACGTCCACCCCTCGAGTCTCCCGCACCTGACGCCCGCACCCATGCCACCACCCGTGAGTCACATAGCAGCAAACAAAAGAGAATGGCTTGAACTAGCGCCACGCGGCATCGCGAGCTGCATGGCAGCACAAGCGGCGGGCGCGCACCTGCAGCCACACGGACGTGGTCTCGGCGCCTGTGAAGAGGTACTGCCCCACAAAGATCTCGTCGCCCGCCCGCACTGCCTGCCGTTGGGGCCCACACCACACCACACCACACCACACCACACCACACCACACCACACCACACCACACGCCGTGCAGTGGCGCATCGGGCGGGGTGAGCAGGGGGCAGTAGAGGGCATTACACACTATCGGTGCTGCCACATGCTACCACGGTAGGTGCCATGGAAATCCACCCGCCACGCCACCCACTACTACCCAAAGCCCCCAGCGCCCAGCCCCCAGGGCGCCCACCCCCCATGTGCAGCGAGCGCGGGGCAGCGCACCTGCGCGAGGCCGTGGAAGGAGAGCGGCAGGCAGGACGCAGAGGCGGCGGAGCAGGCGGGCGAGAGGGTGATGTCGCAGCCCGCCGTGAGCGTGATGGGCGCCCCCCCGGGGTTGGCGATCATGAGCTCCGCACCCACCGTGTCCAGCATCACCTGCCATGGCGCCGGGGCGGCATGCATGGCGGCAGGGGCGGCGCAGCCATTGCTCATGCCAGGAGCAGCAAGAGCGACGTGGGGTAGGGAGTACTCGAGGGACCCACGTGCGTCACGGCACTATGCGCACAAATGCATGAGCCAACCCCTATGCGCTATGAGGCATGTGGCATGTGCGCATGCATGGTAGGGTGTGTGCATGTCGTACGGCGCAGAGCTTCTTGGAGCGGCGCATGGCGATGCGCAGATTATCGAGCGTGTGCTGGTGGTAGTCCGCGTCGCCATGGGAGAAGTCGAAGCGCGCCACTGGGGAGGGGCGTGGGTGACGAGAGGGGTGGTGGAGAAGCGGACATGGAGTGGTGTGACGGAGTGGTGCAGCGCGGTGTGTCTGCGAGGTGACTCATATAAGCTCTCTCCTCGCAATGGCCGTTCTTTCAGACTGTTGGTTTATCAGGGGCGATGACGAAAACTGCAACTATTGTTGACCCCCTCACTCCCCACCACGCACCTATGTTGGAGTACTTTTAAGGTTTCTAAAAGGCGACGCGAGGAGCATCGCCACCCACCCGTCATTCCCGCGAGCAGCAGCGCCTCCAGGGTCTCCACGCTGCGGCTCGTGCCGCCCACCGTGCCCACCACCTTGGTCAGCGACGGCACCGCGGCGCGCTGCTGAGTGGGGGAGGAGGAAGTGTTACAGGAGTGCGAGGGAGGTAGACTGCACTATACCATGAGCACGAAGTGGCGCAGAAAACACGTGACATCATAAATGGAGCATTAATACATGGTATACGGACGTCTCGAGGATGGAAGCCAGCCGAATCGGCTCCTCCAGGAGCAAGTTTCGTCCCTGCGAGTCAAGCCGTGATGGTTGTTAGAACGTGTAACATATGCCACAGCGACTGAGGAGTCTCACGCAGAGCTAGTAGTATTGATGTCATGAAAAATTCGGGGTCTAAGCAGATCGCGTGAAGAACGGTTACCGTAAGTGGCGGCATTGTGTCTGGTCAATAGCGCTGACGGTGAGTGGCAGGGAGTGTGGTGGCCGATGATGGTAGGCGAGGAAAGAGGGCGACGAGGCTTGGGTTGCGCTGCGATGGACAAGAATCGACTGGGAGAGTTGGTGGTGCCACTGTAGGGGCGGGGGAATTTCAGAAATCGGACCGCATGTGAATGCCACGATAAAACGGGGGAAAAGCTCATACAGGGGCCGAACAGTGCCAGGGAGGTGTTAAAACAGGGGCCAAGAGGCCCGAAACTAACCAAACCACTGCGCATAAAGGTCTTTGCAAAACACTATCATTATTTGAACGTATAATCGTTATCAGTTAGCTTTTAAGACTCGAGCGTCATTTTTCATTGAAATGTTTACTGATTCATCAGCTTCCACCCAATAGCGTCGTTTAGCAAGCCAGAAACTCTTAGGGCAGCCAAAAAAACTGAAACCCCAAGGGGAACCTGGATGCATTTTCGGGATGGATCAACCCAAAAAACGGGAACCTTCGTTGTGTTTAGGGTTGATGCCTCCCTAGTCGCATCCATTTCCGAATGGGGTTTTTTTTTCTGCGCGTTTCCGATCAGGGAGTGATATTTATCACCCATAATGAATTTGTTTTTTGACTCACAAATTAACACAGCAATATTTACTTCCAGAAGAACGCGATGTGCGCGTAGTAGTAGACGGCGGTCGTAACCATTATTTTTGGTAAGTTGGACACAGAGTTTGGTGCTGGTAGCATTTCTCTTTGAGTCACGGTACAGCTTGTTTGCCTAGCCTCTTGGGCAGCTCGGGGTCGAAAATCCTACGGTCGAGATTTTCTGGCCCTACTTCGGTCATCCCTCTGGCACTCTTCGGCCCCAGTTTGATCATTTCCCATAAAACGGCCCACATTGCGTGGCTCGAAGTGACACGTGTCCTCATTGCATGAGCTGAAGGGGTTGCATTGCCGAAAGTACACCTGCAGAAGACCACCAGATAGCCCAGCACTAAACTTTTTGTTTACGTTTTCAATTAAATATCACTTGTCAAAAACAGACGCAATGAATAACATCCAGATTAGAGAGCATGCAAACATCAGAACATGTCTCGCAGTCAGTTAGCAGAAAGCCACTCAAATTCCATTAGCACTGTCGCTGCTGAGAAGCCCTTTCCACAGGCCATGAGGACCCACTCACCCCACACAAGAGGGGCTCACAACCCAACCTCACAGCCTCGTGACAAAGGCACCATCCCTAGTGATGACAAGGAGCATCGGCAGAGGCGAGTGGCGGGTGCGCAAGGCAGCGGAGTGAGAGCAGGGTGGGCTGGTCAGAAGGGAGGACTGCGGGCGCGAGGCAAGGCCACAGCAGGCAGAGAGGGCATCTAGTGGCAATCAGTGGCATTCATGCTCTTGGTGCTCGAATGGGCAGTGCAGCACGGTGGACAAGGACGTCCGCAGACAGTTGGGGTTAAATGGGGGTCAGGATATCTAAGGGAAAGGAAAGCAGAACAGTGCACGCGCGAGCGAGTGAAATACAGAGAGGCGCGAGCAGCTTTAGGCATGAGGTTCCGGAAGGTGTGAGCTAGCGAACTGGTGGGGGTGCGCTGGATGGAAGGCAGGCAGGGAGAACCAGCGGAACGGCAGTGTGAGACATGCATGTGATGCACGACGGGGAATAGGAGGGTGGATGGTGTAAGATACAGTTGATGTCATGTGAGATGTGAGCATGTTCATGTCAGCTGTTGCTCCAACTTCACCACCCAGCAACATGTTGGTGCTGCTGCATCATGAGTGCTCCCACGTCATGAGTGCTGCCACATCATGAGCGCTGCCACGTCATGAGCGCTGCCACATCATGAGCGCTGCCACGTCATGAGTGCTGCCACGTCATGAGCGCTGCCACGTCATGAGCGCTGCCATGTCAAGTGGTGTAAGCAACGATCCATGGATGACCTGGTGCAGCCCGAGAGGAGAGAGAGGGGAAGAGAGGCAAGGCCGAGGGTGAGGAAGGTGAGGTGGAGAGCAAGCGGTGATGCACAGCCAGTAGAAGGAGGCACACAGTGCAAATGACAAAGGCATGTGTGCGGCCCACGGGGTCAAGACAAGGCAAAGAGCGTGAGGGAGTAGCATGGCAGGGCACAAGGGCAGGCTTACGCAGGATGGCTTCAACGGTGATGCGCTTGGCATAGTTCTTGCAGAGCATGCGGCGCACAAGGTCCTTGGCGGCGTCCGACACCTGGGGCCAGGGGTCGGTGTCAAAGTCAAGGTGGCCCCACAGCACGCTCTTGAAGATCTCCTCCGTGGTGTCACCCCAGAAGGGCGGCAGGCCGCACAGCAGGATGTAGAGGATCACGCCCGCGCTCCACACGTCCGCCTCCACGCCGTAGTTCTTGTTGATCACCTCCGGCGCGATGTAGTTCGGCGTGCCCGCCCGGAACGTGCACCGCTCGCCTGGTGCCCCACCGCACACAGGGGGGGAAGGAGGGGGAAAAGGAGGAATACGAGGAGCATGGCAGGAAGGGTAAGGTATGTGTGATGCAGGGCGTTTGTAAAGGGTGGGTGGATATAAGGAGGGCCTTGAGGAAGGGCAAGGGCGCAGCATGCACATGTTGCATGCAAGCATGCCTGTGTGTGGCTCGAGGAGAGTGGGGAAAGCGGGAAGATGAGGGGAAAGAGTGGCAAGTGTATGCGAGAGAGCGGATGGAGGCGCGAGGGAGGAGGGAGCAGGGGAGACGGGAGGGAGGCAGGGGGCGGGGGCTGCACCTGGTTGGAAAATGTAGGCCATGCCGTAATCAATGACCTTGACACGCGTGTCACTGCGCTTGCTGGTGAGCAGAATGTTTTCAGGCTTGAGGTCGCGGTGCAGCACGCCGTGCGAGTGGCAGTGCTGCAGCACGTCCACCACGGTGCGCGTGACCTTGGCGGCCTGGCGCTCGCTGTAGTAGCCCTTGTCCTGGATGCGGTCAAACAGCTCCCCGCCCTCGCACAGCTCCATTATCAGATGCACCTCCTGCCCACGCACACACGCCACCCGTGCACGCACAGGGGGAGAGTGAGTGTGGTGCGGGGGGAGAGGTGATGGGATGGTGCGCGGCAAAGTGAAGAGGTGCTGGTGGAAGACGGTGCGGTGCTGATGGCCATTCATTCGCCGCCGCGCCACCATGACATGCCCAGTATGGTTGCCCTCGCAGCATAAAAGGGGGCGGGTGCGGAGAGCACAGGCCAAGGGAGGAGCAGCAGGGAGGCAGCGGGTTTCAGTGCAGGGGGGTGGTGGGTACCTTTTGCGACTCAACAGTGTGCACGAGCTTGATGACGTTAGCGTGGTCCCTGAGCATCTCCATCACCTGCACCTCCCTTCGCACGTCCTCCACGTCCTCCCAACACTGCCACCACATCACACACACTCATGCGCACACAAGCAATACACACGCACACACAGGCCAGGGAACACCCAGTCAGCAAGTGAGATGGGGCACATGGGTGCACGAGTGCATGTGTGCTGCATCCTCCCATCACTTCAAAGCACTGTCCCATCACCCGTCCCTTTCCCACTCCGCTCCCTCTCCCCTTGCCCCGCCTCACCTCCAAATTCTTCTTCTCAATGGTCTTGCAAGCAAACCGCTCCCCGGTGTCGCGCTTCTCACACACGCGGATGACCCCGAAGTTGCCGCGGCCGAGCTCCTTGCGGGACAGCCGGTACAGCTCGCTGAGCTCCACCACCTCCTTCTGCAGCACGTTCGCCGTCGCCGGCGTCTCCTCCACCTGCTGCTCCTCCTCCTCCACACGGCGCGGGCTGCCCGCCTCGCCCGACTTGGCGCTGTAGTAGTAGTCGCTCACATTCGGCGTGCGTGGGGGCGCCGCGGGCGGGGGCGAGAGGGAGCCAGGGCGGGGCGAGGCGGTGGGCGTGGAGACGGGCGTGGAGCGCTGGAAGTTCTGCAGCGCCCACAGCTTCTCGGGGTCCAGCGGTACCATGGGGCTGGCCAGCGGACTCACGCCCTCGCGCGGACTCGCCATGTTGAACGGCGAGTTGATGCCGCTGCGCGGACTGGCGTGCGTGGGCGTGCTGGCAGAGGCGCCAGCGGTGGCAGAGGAGGAGACGCGAGGGCTGACAGCGGTGTTGCTGTGCGGCACGCTGATGGACATGCCTCCTCGCACCTTGAGCTTCAGGTTCGTGCTCAGTGGGATCGACCCGTCCGGCCCCACTGCTGCTGCTGCCGCCGCCGCCGCTGCTGCTGCCGTGGCGGCTGCAGCGGTGGTGGCGGCAGCGGCGGGTCCCTGGTTGGCGAAGGCACCGACCTTGATGTGCTTGGCGCTGCCGTGCCCGCCTGTCCTGATGGCTGTCAGCCCTGCTCGCACCGCTTCCACGCCCATGCTGCTCGCCATCGCACTCCCCACTCCCCCTCCCGTCGCCCCCGCCCCACCACTCTCGCTTGCCCCATCCCTTCCTCCTCCGCTGCTCCCCACCCGTCCCGCTATACCCCCTCCGCCAGCCGCCCCGCCAGCACCTGCGCCCACCTTGGCCTGTGCGCTCTGCGCGCGGGCGTGCGCGCTGCCCCCGCTGCTGACCACGGCGTCGCTCTGCTGTGCGCCCGCCAGGAAGTTGAGCGCCAGCGCCTGGGGGCCGTTCGCGCCCAGATTCGGCGCCATGCTCGCGCCCGCCACGGCGCCCCAGATGCCCCCTCCGCCCACAAAGTACCCCGGGCCCGCGCTCTCACTGCGCCTGTGGCGCGGCTTGGGGCGCGCTTCCGCGGGCGAGGGCTCCTCGAAGGGGCGCAGCCTGTTGGTGCCGCCGCTGCCTGCTGCCGCCGCCACCGCCGCTGCACTGCCGCCAACATTCCCGCTGCCTGCACCACCGCCGTAACTCCCCCCTCCACCGCGCATAGGCGCGCCCCCCTGTGCTCCCCCCACGGCGGAATCGCCATTCCCCCCGTACTTGCGCCCCCCGCGCATGTCTCCCTCCCCGCCCATCCCTTGCCCTCCGCCCACGGCCGCCACAGCAGCGGCGGCGGAGCTGAAGTAGGTACCGCTGGCGCTGCGCGCAGTCATCCGCATCGGCGGATTGCGCCCGGCGGGACGGCTGGCTGCGGGGGAGGTCTGCGCGGGCGGAGCAGAAGCTCCCCCCGATGCGCCGTGGGCAGTGGAAGAGGTGGACGACGCGGGATGCGGGCGCGAGGAGGTGGCGCGCGGAGGGGAGTGGGGCGGGGAGGTGGAGTAGGCAGGGGAGACGGCGGAGAGGCGGTGCGAGGAGAGCTTGAGCTGCTGCTCCAGCGCCTCCTCCGTGATGGGCTGCCCCCCCTTGCCCTTCGCCTTGCGCCCCCACACGCCCTCGTCCTTGCCCCCCCGCGCGCCGCCACTCCCCATGTCGCCGGGGTCGGGACTGCCGTCCGTCGACCGCGACCGGTCCACTCCGCCGCCTGCCAGCCCCGCCGCCCTGCGCACGCCGCCGCCGCTGTTGGGGCGCGGCAGCGCCTGGGGGCGAATGTCGACGACTTCCCGCACGCGACCCGCCACCGCCTCCGCTGCGCCGCCCCACGCCCCGTCGCCTTTCCCCGACCCCCGCCCAGAGCCCGCGCCCATTGCCGCGCGCGGAGCTCCACTCCCCGACGGCGCCGGCCTTCCCCCAGCTGCGGGCGAGCCCACCCGCGCAGCGCGAGGAGGCTGGTGATCGGCGGAGTCGAAGGAGAGGCGCGCAATGTCAGGGGGGGAGCGCATGGGGGAGTCGTCGTCGGGCCACGGGCTTGACTGCGAATCGTGCGACCGACGCCGCATCTGCTGCTGCTGCTGGGGGGCCGGGGCGAATTGTTGCTGCTGCCACGGTTGCTGCTGCGGTGGCGGCTGCTGGTATTGCTGCCACTGCTGTTTCTGCGCGCTCGCACCGTAGCCCTGCGACTGCTCGTCGCCCGCCGCATCGCCCGGCGACGACAGAGCCTTCATGCTCCGTGGTCGCATCAGAACCTTTTCCCCCGCGCCCCGTCCCATTCCCTGTGCCTGCGCGTCTCTTTGAGCCATCCCCATCCCCCCCACCTGTTCCTTGTGGCTCTGGCTCCCCCCCACGCCCGCCCCCGCGCGCATGCCCCCGCCAGTAGCGCGGACGGGGGAGTCCGGCGAGCGGTCGTGGTCGAGGGCGTGTGACGGCACGGCGGACACGGACCGCGACGACGGGAATCGATGGGTCACTTGCGCGCGCCGTTCCTTGCCGCTTCCGCCCCCGCTATAGTCCGCAAACCGATCGCCTACGCCTTCCAGCGGGCTTCGCGCCGCCACGTGCTGCCCCGACCCACCGCTACCGCCGCTCATCCCGCCCGACATGGACCCGCCACCGCCATTCGCGTTGCCGCCGTACCCGCTTCCGCGCACAGCGCTTCCGCTGGGACCAGCTCCGCCGGTCGCAGGCCCCCCTTGAAAGCGGCTGCTGCCCGCCCCGCCTGCCGCGCCGCTGGTCATGGGTCGCGCCACTGGGCTCCGGCCGCCCGGTGGCCCGCCTGGCGACCCCCCACCTCCGGACATGGCGGGGGGCTGGCCCGCGTGATCCTGCGCGAGCATGCGGTGGAACATCGACGCGTCCTCCGACCGGATGCGCCGGTGCCGCGCGCTCTGCTTCAGCGCTGCCACCGGACCCGCCGGCGACCCGTAGCGCGCCTCCCCCGCGTGGGCGGGCGTGGCCCCCGAGGAACTGGGCGCGGGGGCGTAACCCTTGGCGGCAGGCGCCAGGGGAGAGGGGAAGCCGGAGGAGGCGGAACGAGAGGAGCGGGGCATGGGGTGGCGTTGCGGCGAGGAGGAGAGACCGTCTTGCGAGTGGTGGTGGTGCTGCTGAAGCGGCATCTGTTGCGACTGACGGGGCTGCTGCTGCTGCTGCTGCTGCATTGAGGCCTGGGAGCTGTGCCCCTCCGTTCGCGCCTTTGCAGGTGGCTGTTGGTAGTGCTGATGCACATGTGCGTGCTGCGACGCCTGATACCTCGAGTGCTCCTGGTAGTGCCCCTGCTGCTCCTGGTAATGCCCCTGCTGCTCCTCGTCCTCCTCGTACGAAAGCTCTCTTCTTGTCGAGTCGTCACGGCCCCACTCATTCTCTCTCCCCCGCTCGTACTCTTTCTCCCTTTCTCTCTCGCGCTCCAACCGCTCCCTCTCCCGCACGCTGCCGCTCGCCACAACGCGTTCACCGCGCTCCCGCGAGCTCCCCGTGCCCCTGTCCGGGCGATCGCGCTCACGAGAACTACCCGCACTCCTCTCGCCAGCACCTCGTTCATTGTCCCTAAAATTGCCGCGCTCCCCTCTGTGCTTGTCGCTCTCCTTCCAGCTGCCACTCCTCTCCGACTCCCTGCTCCTCATCGCCTCTGCCTCTCTCTCGCGCCCCTTGCCGTACTCCATTGCCCCGCCCCTCTCTCGCCCACTGCCCCTCTCGCGCTCGCCCTCCCTCCAATCCCGCACGGGAGCATCTCGCTGCCGCTCCCTGTCTCGCTCGTACGCTCTATCGCGCTCCCACTCCCGCTCGCCCTGCCCCTCCGTCTCCCTGCCCATGGACCCGGCGCGCGAGTACGAGTGTGAGCGCCGCGACACGGGCTGCACCGCCGACTCACCGGTTGGCGAGGCGTCGTCGTAAGCGGCGTGGTCCTCCTCCTCGATGCTCGGGATCTCCGACAGCATGTACTGCGGGTGCTGCCGGTACCGATTCGACGTCGCCTGACCCGTTGCCAACCCGCCTTGAGAATTGCCGCCGTGATGGGCGCGCGGGTCCGCTGCTTGCTGAGCCGCCATGACGTGATCAAAGAGGTAGCCATCGTCCGACCTCACCCTCCGATGCCTGGCGGGCCGCAAAGGCCGTGGAGGCACGGAAAAGGAGAAGTCGCCCCCTCCCCCGTGCATCCCTAGTTATACTCTAGAGGTAGCCTTAGCCTCGGGCTCCAGTGCAGCCGAAAGGGCAATGCAGTTATTAACTCCACTATGCAGATCTGTCCAATATAAATAGTCAATAATCAGGCTTAAACTACTATTCTTTATCATACACCGTTAATGGTTAGGGATGGCCAGAATGGGGTGCTGCTGGATGAAAACACGAAGGATATTGAATTGGCTGCATTGCAGCCTCTGCGCCACGAGCTGGCGACAGTAAGTCAGTGTACTAAATAAGTAGCGCTCTTGTTGCGTGGCGCTGGAGGTGAAGCATGAGGGAGCTGTCAACTAGGCAGAAATTATGCGCACATAGCCAGGACTTGGGAGAGAAGCATGTACTTTCGTACACGAACAGCGCTGTGGGGTTTCTTCCCCCCCAAAACGCCAACCTACCCCCTTTCCCCTCCCCGCTGGCCTGATTCCTTCCGAGGCTCTCTGGTAGGGCTGCACGGCGTACGGCCCACAGCGACTCTCATGCCCGCGAGAAACCAGCAGAAGCTAGCGTGCGCCCATGCCGCGACCTCGAAATGGGAAGTTGTCACTGTCACGGCCAATGGCCTCCACCGACGGCTGCAGGAGCCCTAAATGTTCTACATTTCAATTTCAATGGTGCATTTCAGAACCATGTCAGCAACATTAGAAATTATCAGTGTACCCGATTTATAATGATAGACCAATTACTGTACTTGAGACGGGCAACAGACGGGGGGCAGTTTCTTCCGTCGGGTCGGGTAGCAACCTCGATCATCCAAGCCAGCCCAACCACCAAGAAGTGGCGCAAGCCAGACCGTCCCAACCCACCCATCCAACTCTAACACGCCTCACTTCCATCCCACCACCCAATCCCTGATGTTCATCCGAAAAGTTGAGAAGGCTCCTTGCCAGCACACCCCCCATGGGCACTAATGGAGGCAGAGCTATCCCCATAAAGAACACTTCGCAGAAAAAATAAAAGAAATGAAGGTCTGCTTACCTTTCTACATGGACGCAATCTAATCAGGTTATTCTGGCTTCTTAAATTAGATCACGGGCTGTCCATACCCAACTCTTGTGATGTGCTGAAACAACATTTGTAGGGATTATAGATTGGTTGTACAGTACTGTACCGGCTGCATGAAGCTTTGTTCAAGCTCCCACTTACCAGTAGTTATTTTGCACAATGGTTATGCCAAGTCTCTAGCACAGCTGTGACATCTAAAACAATACACCAGATTCGGTAGGTAAACAGTATCCATTCTGTAAAGCAGCTTTGGTGATCTCCTCGATATCTTGCCAACCAGCCTTCTGTACCCCTCCCTTCCTCCCTACCCTTCCTCGTCAATCATTCTATCAGCAGAACCCTCTCACTACCACACACAAATGCCATCTGTCTCCTACACCAATGCCATGCTGCCTCACATCCATGATGTTGCACCTCTCCTCACCTAGAAGCGCAGTGAAGCCACCTGGTGTGGTGTGGCAACGACAAGAGGAGCCTCTGGGAGTGAAGGGCCTGCGTAGTCATCATGCATGAACTTGGAGTCAATCACTGACTCGTTGCGAGGAGCCACACGGTAGCATGTGCACTCCTTGAGGCGCCCAACCTGGCGCGTGTAGCAGTCATGCTCAAGCTGCTTGACTCGGCGGAAGGGCCAGATGACAGTGTACTTGTCAACTGTTGCCACAATGTGCTTCTCCTGCCGGTCACTCTCTGTCACCTGTTTACGCCAGCCACACACAATGGAAAAGGAACGCAACACAGCTTTTGAAAAAGTGGAGAAGATTGACCTACACATAAGATTGGACCCAGGGAACCATATCCCAAAGGCTTACGCAGTCAAACCCAACCCAAGGACCCGCACCAAACTCAAGTGCCCAGCTTACCCACGAGAAGCGGGCATTCTGGAATTTGAAGTTCCCAACAATCTGTGCGTGCTCAGGGGTTAGCTTGAGCAGCCTTGCTGCAGCGAGGTTGCCGCCAGCCCTGGCAACGAATGCAGAACGTTCCTTGCCCTCCTTGTCCCTGAAGCCCGTGCAGATGAGAATGAGCTTCTTGTCTGTGGTGGCGATGACCCACCGCCCGTCGTATGTCACATCGATGTGCGTGATGGCGCCCCCAAGGCCCTGGAACGTTGTCTTTGCCTGTGAGCCACACGAGAGATCTGGCATTTAAAGACCGGCACGAACATGGACAACACTGAAAACGGAACACATGAGTGGTGAAGAAGGTGCAAACCTGGCGCATGGAGGTTGTGGAGTACAGGCGGATCTTGCCATCCCGTGACCCAACCGCCACACACCCCTCGCCAGTGGTAGCGAAGCACTGAAAGTTGGTGCCCCGCGAAAACTGGTGCCCATCGGACCACGTGAGCGCGGCTGGCGATGCCAGGGTGGAAGCCAGTGTCTGCACTTGGCCTGCCCTGTCACGCATGTCCCAGCGGCACAGGCGGTTATTGTCCAGCCCAAGGAATGTGGACAAGCCCGCCTGCAGCTGCGCGGCCTTGCTGTCGCCCGTGACGTCGAGCATGTTGATCTCCGTGCCATCCTTATCAAACTTCCACTGCGCCACCACCTTCCCCGTCTCTATGTCCAGCTGCCGCAGCCCTGCCGAATGTGCCGGGCTGGGCGAGCCGGTGGGAGCCCCAGGGTTCATGAGCAGCATGGTGGATTCGCGGTCCAGCAGCAGGCCCTTTTTCGCCGTGGCGGGAGTGCCGCCGTCCTTCATGCTCATCTTCTCCAGTGCGATGCTCAGCCCGTCCGCGTAATGCACGCCGTCCTCGCGGTTCTTGTACACGTCGATGCCGCCCTCGTGGATCAAGTAGCTGTTCGCCAGCGCGCCCATGGAGAAGCCCAGCGGCTTCTTGCCCTTGGGCGTCTCCTCGTAGCTCTCCGTGATGGACGACTCCTTGCGCGACGACGGCGACAGCGCGCCTTCTCCGTCCGGCAGCTCTTCCGCGGCGTCCTCCCACATCGCTCCCTCCGCATCCTCCCCCTTGGCCCAACCCACGAACTCCTTCCCCATAACCTTGGCCGCGTTCGCCTCGGTGTACGACATGCCGTGAGTGTTCTCAAAAAGGCACGCGTCGTACTGCCGGCAGAAGTCAGCATACTCGTCGTCAGTCGCGAATTTGATGGCCCACACGCTCTTGAAGTCCGTGAAGTCCACGCGGCGCTGCTGGTCGTTGAACTGGATATTCAACCCCTCGTCCACGCGCACGCAGATCCTCCCTGCCACAACGAAGTACCAGTACCCCTCGTCGTCCTCCTCCTCCTCCTCGCCTTCGGGTTTGTAATCGTCGTCGTCCTCATCGTCGTCGTCACCGTCGCGAGTCTTTTGCGGAGGGTTCTGCGTGAACTTCCAACCGATCGACTTGTCCGCCAACTTATAACGAACGCTCCCGTCCGGGCCCTTAGCGGAGCGCCAAAGCCGCGTCGCTGGAGCCTTCTTACTCGAACTTGGGGAAGCCACCGTCGCAGACGGGGAGGCTGCAGCTGGATGAGGTGCAACGACGGTCTCGTAGTCATCGTCCAATGTATCAGGACGGCTATGATCAGCCCCCATGCTGAATATCAGGAGTCGAAATAGAAGGATTTCACAGGATCTTTGAACAAGAAAAAACAAGACGGAATTATCAGGTCGACGCGTATCAGTCAATCGAACAAGCGTTATTCTCTCTTGGCGCTGCTCCTCAGCTTCGAGGTGATATACCTTCGAGGTTCCTAGGGACCATAAACAGACGATCTCAAAGCTCAACTTACTGGTAGGTGCCACGATGAATTTGGAGGCCTGGACGCGCACTCCAACAAACCATTCTCGGGGCTGACACACGGATCGAGTCAGAAAACTCCCGCTCAAAATCCCTCGCCATATCGACGCTGTACAACGCCGCCCTTCTGACAGAATGAAGCACTATACAGCACAATTTGATAATTTATAGCACGCGCTCTTCATAACGTTGATATGAAAAAATGGAAAGGTTTGACTATAAACGTGACCTAAACAAGCCACAGTACCATCTCAATGAAAACACAATAAAAACATCCACCTCATACCTCTATTTTTTAGCATACGCAATAAATACATTGTAACCCTTTTCAGGCAATCTTCGTCGGCCTATTAGCTGAACCCTTTGCACCTTGGCATGCCTTGCATGCTGCAGCGTGCATTCAGAGGTGTTGTAAGTATGGCCCACATCCTGCAGCTGCTCCCCAACAGTAGAACTGCCACTACCTACCAGCTTGAAGAGCACTGCAAATATGGAGAGCCATGCGTCTACAAATGGGCTTCCAACCTCAAGGTGATACTTTGTTCAACAACGCTGACGTTGCTTTTAGTCTACCAACAACTAGCCCCATCTGCGCTGGTCCGATCGGTAGAAACGGAGGGCGGAAGCCCTTCGGAAGCTTTTCGTCTCGTAGAAATGAGATCAGCGAGCCCAGGGGAATGGCTCTACCTCTTAGAGGGTCGCCCAGGACCACAAAAAGGAATGCGGCCTCCCCCAGCCCAATCAGATCCTGCTTCGGTCCAAATGTCAAATCCGGATTGTTAGCACGACTGTCTGCTACCCGCTTTTTCCTGAACGCCGCCATATCTTGCATCGTCAGGAACTTGCCGTCGCTGGAGCTGGACACCAGTTGGTTGATCATTGTCTGATTGACAGCGTAATTGTTGCCCAGCCGGTCGTCGTCGCGGACCAGTGAGACATCGTGCTCGATCTTGTTGTGCATGCGGAGCTTCACAGGATCCACACCCCCATTCGTTGTCAAGCCTAGAGCCTTCGCACCAGCGTAAAAGCCTAAAGTTAGGGACGGGGACAAGGATAAGAACTGGCGAAACCCGAGCAAAACGCGCGAGAGCGGCACAGGCGATCCATCTCGCGGAAAGACACCGTGATTCGCCATCGTGTTAAACGCTGGGCACGGCCCGCGAGCATCGTTGGGTCCGGGCGGAATGTATTTGCCTAGTTTGAGCCCAAACCCGTGGCAGGTGCTACAGCAGGCTGCTATGACAGCATGCAACAGAATTGCTGCGAGGGCCATGGCGGGACTCATTAATGCGAAGCTCGTGGCTTGGAATGGAAGCAGGGGAGTAATGACTCGGACAAAGATAAGGCTTGTGGAGATGTTATGCGCCGAAGACACTTTTCCCGGTGATGCCGCTGCTATTTGTGTCGTGCACCTGCAGACCCTTTCTCGAATGTTAAGCTACCCAGTCTTTAAGGCATACAGTAGTATGGTGGTAGCTTGATTCTCGTTATTTAGCACTACCTAGCGGCACCGGTGCAAGTCGGTATGCTAGGGCCGGTGTAAGCCGGGTCGCAAAAGATGTTTATCTCCACAACCATGCTTGACATACATCCGAGCCCCATGAATATACCTTAGTTACAAAAATATGTTCTGAACTAGGATGGGGAAACTTGGCTGCGTTGTGCAGTTTTCATCCGTCTACACATCGAACAAGACAGCATCGTGCAGAATTCCTTCAGACACGTTTTCCACACCAATCAGCTGTGGCTTTGTCGGTGTCGTGCGGTGGACAGAGTCCTGGTCGTGTAGCCCAAGGACGCGGTTGAAACAAACCGAATGTGTGGAGCGCCCTGGAGCCGGTTTTGTTCGGTGCAGCAGAACCCAGAAACACCGGTCACCGTAGGGCGGCGCTAAAGTGTAGGAGCGTGGAATACCTGCTAGGGTTTTAGCGGAATCCTCCGAAACAGCTGACGATCTTACACAGCAGTGTCCGATCTTGCACAGCAGTGTCCTACACAGTGACAATTGTAATCAGTGATAGCCAATCGAAATCATCAAAATCATGACTATAAAAAAGTAGGTAGGTTACTGTTCTGTAGAATTGCCAACTGTGCTTAAGATTGCCAACTGTTCTGTAGGATCGTCGCTAAAACCCTAGTAGGTGTACCGCGCTCTAAAACATATAAAAAATGGAAGACATCATCCTCCACGTAATCGACCCTGCTATTCCCTAAGAAGATTTAAGCCAAGGGGCCTAACATACGGAAAACCAATAATGGAAATGCGTTTTTCTTACAGGCACAGTGTTACGGGTGCAATGAATCGAGGTAGCGAGAATTGCACTAAGGTGTCAAACGAGTACAAAATGTTAGCGAAGGCATGAGCGAACATTTATACGCGAAACATGCAAAACGGTAACGCGGTGCGTGCGAGCTTGCTAGTGCTACGCTGGAGCGAGGCTCGGGCTAGTCCCGAAGCGTAGGCCGATACGGCCATGCCAGCAGTGCGAGGTTTGGCAAAACAGTGCGCGCGAAGTCGGCGAAGTTCCGTTAGCAGTAACGGGCGAACAATCGGCTGTTGCTGTACGCGATGTAGTCGGCCCCGTAAGGAATGCCGAGAAAATTCCTTACACTACCCCCCCCCTTAAGAAGCCCCCTCCGCTACGCGAGTGCGTGTATATCGCGGAATCCCCGGCTCCTCAGGTACACTTGCAGGGCAGGGTGATTTTCGATGTTGCTCAGGGGCACCCAGCTATCTTCAGTTGGCGTGCGGTCTTTCCAGCGAACGAGGAATTCAATCCTCCTGATTCCCGTGGGGTGGCGGATCCGATGGCTCAGAATTTTGTCGGGCTCGATGATCGGCTCTGATGCAGGGCGAGTCATTGATTGTGGCCGGTGACGCGGCAGTTGACTTGTGGTCGGGATGTATGGGCGAAGTAAGCTGACGTGGAACGAAGGGCTGATGTACCAGTTGGTTGGCTGTGAAGTAAGGAAAACAGGAATGAAAATGACTAAGTCAGAGTTGGGTACAAATACAACCCTAGAAAGCTGTACCCCATATGTGCTACCCCACTATAGCCTACAAACATGCATCAGTCATAATACTCTGACACACCCCCATAGGCAAAGTGGGGGAGAACAAGGGGTCACAAGACCAGTCAAGCAAAGCAAAGCAAAGCAAGCTCAGGGTGGATCACAACGTCACCACACAGTCCGAGCACAAGAGCAGGGCCAGAGGCCAGTTCACATGCAGGAGTACAGACATATATATAAAACTAGACAAGCAAGAGCAGGTATATATATATGTCACAGTACAAGTGAAGTCAAGAGGAGAGCAAGTGAGGCAAGACAGGTACAAGACCCAGCTGGGTGCAAAAGCGCTGATGGTCACAAGGCGCGAGTGCCTTGGTGAACACATCAGCAGTGTTGGCCTCAGAGGCCACGTACGCAAGTCGCAACTGACCACGCTGCTGCAGCTCACGAGCAAGGAAGTAGCGGAGAGCAATGTGCTTCGTTCTGTGCTCCAAGCTCTGCTCTCGACACAAGGCCAGCATGGCCTTGTTGTCTACGTACAGCACTGGAGGAGAACGAGGCGGCTCTCCAAGGTCAGTCAGCAGGTAGGTGAGCCAGCGAAGCTCCTGTGCAGCCATGGCCCCGGCGTAGATCTCAGCCTCACAACTGGAGCCGAGAACTGAAGACGAGCGAGTAGACCGCCACGAGACAGAGCCGGAACCAAGGCTGAAGGTGTAACCCTGTGACGACCGCTGCGTAGCCTGGTCGTCTGCCCAAGAAGCGTCCGCGTGGCCGGTAAGGACCACTGGAATCCGCCCTCCAAGCACTAGCCCCATGCCCGACGTACTGCACAGGTAGCGCAATACCCTCTTCGCTGCAGCCATGTGCTCCGGTCTGTGTCTCCCAGGAGCAACATAGCGTGCAAGAATGCTCAGAGGGTATGCAAGGTCAGGTCGTGTGCAGGTCATCAGGTACATGAGGCAGCCAACAAGCTCTGCATACGGACCACTCGACTCTACGGACTCATCCGAAGGCAGAGCTGAGAGTGAGTGGCGAGTAGGCAGAGGAGTGGCCTGAGGCGAGGAGTACGTGAAGCCGAAGCGCTGAAGGACCTGCTGCACCATGTGTGACTGAGTCAAGGTAATGGTGCGGCGTGCTCTGTCCCGAGTGATCTGCAAGCCAAGGTAGCTGCGCAGTTCACCCAGGTCTGTGCACGTGTGTCTCTTCAGCAGCTCGGACTTCACGTAGGCGAGTCCAGCAGTGTCCGCTGTGGCAAAGACCAAGTCGTTGACGTACACGAGGATGTAGAACGGCGGCAGGGAAGTGTCGGTGCGAAGAAACAGCGACGGGTCAGCAGTAGAAGGAGCAAACCCAAGAGCCGCAAGCGTAGTCCTCAGTGTGTCGTGCCACTCACGCGGTGCCTGGCGGAGACCGTAGACTGGCCGTCGGAGGCTCCACTGGGTGCCAGGAGGGAAAGTCCCAGTGAAGCCAGGTGGACGGCGAAGCCAGATCTCCTCGTGCAGGCTACCCTGCAAGAACGCAGTGCTGAAGTCGAGAGAGTGAAGCTCGTAGTCGCGCTGAGCGGCAATGTGCAGCAGCACCCGAAGAGTGGTCATCTTCGGGGTGGGAGAGAAGGTCTGAAAGTAGTCAACTCCCTGCCGCTGACTGAAGCCACGAGCAACGTACCGTGCCTTGAAGACAGGTGGAGAGCCCGGCGGCCGCTTCACCCTGAAGATCCACATGCCACTGACGATGTTCGCCCCAGGAGGGGGAACCGCGTCAACGTAGGTGCCTGTGGACTTCC